AGAAATAAAGAGACAGAGACAGAGAGAGAAATAGAGAGAGAGAGACAGAGACAGAGAGAGAGGTAGAGAGAGAGAGAGGTAGATTGGGAGAAAGCAGAAGAGAAATAAAAAGAATCAATGAAGAGGGAAGAATGTTTAAAGCAAACAACCCAGGGATGGTAAGGAGAGAAACAAAGAGACAGAGACAGGGAGAGAAATAGAGAGAGAAATAGAGAGAGAAATAGAGAGAGAGACAGAGAGAGAGAGATGTAGATAGAGAGAGAGACAGATAGAGATGAGGAGAGAGGCGGAGAGCAGAAGAGAAATAAAAAGAATCAATGAAGAGGGAAGAATGTTTAAAGCAAACAACCCAGGAATGGTAAGGACACAGAGAGAAATAAAGAGACAGAGACAAATAGAGAAATAGAGAGAGAGAGACAGAGAGACAGAGAGAGAGGTAGAGAGAGAGAGAGAGAGGTAGATTGGGAGAAAGCAGAAGAGAAATAAAAAGAATCAATGAGGAAGGAAGAATGTTTAAAGCAAACAACCCAGGGATGGTAAGGAGACAGACAAAGAGACAGAGACAGAAATAGAGAAATAGAGAGAGAGAGACAGAGAGAGGGAGAGGTAGAGAGAGAGAGATAGGTAGATTGGGGAGAGAGGCAGAAAGCAGAAGAGAAATAAAAAAAATAAATGAAGAAGGCAGAATGTTTAAAGCAAATAACCCAGGGATGGTAAGAAGAAAAACAAAGAGACAGAGACAGGGAGAGAGAGAGATAAATAGAGACAGAGAGAGACAGAGAGACAGAGAGAGAGACAGATAGAGAGAGAGAAAGAGACAGGTAGACTGAGGAGAGAGGCAGAAGGCAGAAGATAAATAAAAAATTAAATGAAAAGGAAATAATATTTAAAGCAAAAAACGCAGACAGAGAGACAAAGAGGGACAGACAGAGAGAGATGATAGGAGCGCCAAATATAATATTTTTATGTATTTATATTTATATACAAATAAAATAATAAATTATAAAGAGAATACAAATAAAATAATAAATTATATAGAGAAGGTGTTGTATATACACTGCATAAGCTTGAGGTGTATAGGCACCTCCCTTTCTCGTTTTAAAATGATTTCCATTATTATTTAATATTTATTTCTTTTGTTTCTTCATTTTATTTTATTTTATTTTATTTTTTTTTAATTTATTTTATTTTATTTTATTTTAATTTATTTCATTTCATTTTATTTTATTTTATTTTAATTTATTTTATTTTATTTTAATTTATTCTATTTAATTTATTTTATTTTATTTATCTTTTTTTATACAGAACAACAGACAACCCAAGCCTCACATCGAAGCACGCGGGGGCTACGGCGATGCAGACGCCTCAGCAGCAAAGCGCCAGAAGACAGACAGCAGCTGGCATGGGGGCCCCCCAGGGGGTTCTTATGGGGGCCCCCATGGGGGCCCCCCCTATTCCTCTTGGGGGGGAGGGGGCCCCCAGGGGGGCCCCCCTGGAGGCAGGGGCCCCTGGGGAGGCCACGGGCAGCAGCAGCAGCACTGGGGTGGGGGGGGCCCCCAAGGCGGCTGGCA